ATCGCTTCACAGTGTGATTCTCAGCTATTGTGCATAATTCATTTACTAATGCAAATTGAATGGTCCAGACAACTGTTTTTATTTTAAAACAAACAAACAAACAAACAGACAAACAACAACAACAAAACACAAACAAATAAAAAAACCCAAACAAACAAACAAAAAAAACAACAGCAACAACAACAAAAAAAAAACAACCCACCACCAAAAGCCAGCAGAAACTGCAGAAGAACTCAGGGGTTTTGCTGAATATTTAAATGATTGAAAGTTCACAGCTCTGTACTTTTTTCCCTTTTATGCACATCAACCTGATGTCCGCTCTGAGGTAAACCCCTTAGTTTCATTATCCTGAGAAGTTGCTACTTGCTTATGGTTCATGTTCTGACCATCCAAACTTAATGATCTTTCTTGATCTAAGTTTTGTTTGTTGGGTTTTGTTTTGGTTTTTTTAAGCTATTGTGTACTTGCAGCTATAATTTACCTCAGCTGTACACTAGCCAGGAAATAGCAAAACCTCTTATTAAAACTCTAGAATTAATATTTTACTGACACTAATAATGGAGGAGCCATGGCCAGAATGGCTGCATACACCAAGCTATGGCCTGATTTTCTGTGTCCTCTGAAGATTATGCTCACAGGTCGAAGGTGAGCCGCCTTTGAGGAAGAGTATGAGAGAAGTATGCACTATTGCACTGCCTTTGTCCATAGTGAACAGTGTTATTTTATGGCCTAAGATTGAGGCAATTATGGAAAATTCAAAACCAGATGAGATGCAAGCAGGTCTGTCAAGGTTTTGATTATGAACCATGTGCCAGTGGGGCAGGCAGAGTACAGAAGGCTGTGGTCCATTCACAAATTCAATTTTTCAAGAAATCCAGACCACAGTGTATGATTTGATACTGAAACTTGGAGAGATGAGGGAAGGTGGTGTCTTGCTGGATCTGGCATGTCTGTCAGCTGTAAATATTGGCTGTAAACAAACACATTTCAGATGGCTTTGGGCTTAAATGGAAGTGTCTGTGTCTCCAAGTACTTCAGAAGAAAAACTAGGAGCGCTGCTGACATCTCTTTAAGGGATATTACCAAGTGGCCTCTTCTCTGCCTGTACATCTGCCCCTGTGGACAGCGTGGCCAGGAAGGGTCTCCTGTGTGACAGGAGGGAGCATCGGGGACTGAACTCTGCGTGGCTCCAGGCATGCCCTGCTCCACCATAGGTCTGCTGGGGTTTGCGTGTTTTCTTTCTGTTTTGTTTTTTCTTTTCCCCACTTAAAGTGATTCTCTTGCAGCTGCAAGAGTTAATGAAGTGCTGAAAATGGGCCTGTTACTCAGCATAGGGGAAAAAGTCTTCCCTCTCCTGGCTCCCCACAGGCTCCACAAGTCCCTTGGATGGGTCACGGGGGAGGACTTGGCTGTTAGCTCAGGCAGCACAGCCTGATGAGAAAAGCTTGGGAGTTTTATAAACAAACATCTAGGCAGCTGCATCCCACCCAGGTTGGTGATGGGAAGACAAACTGCAAGATGTAGCTGGAGATCTCCTCAGTTACTGTGCTCCTGGGTCTCCTCTGCAGCAAGTGGAACTGCAGGCACTCTTCTGCATGCAAAAAGAGGGTTTTGATTTAGGATAAAGCCATTTGCTTTGCTTTGCATTTGTCAACCAAGGTGTTGACATTTGCCTTGTTTTGGTTTATTGCACTTAAGTCACAGCTGTAGACATTCTCCAAACTAGTTATTGCTCACAAATAAACACAGACGTGTAAGACATTTGCTAGCATATTTACTTTTCCAGTGTGAAACTAATGAGTGAGATAATTCTTTAACAGCTGTCTTGGTTGTGCTGCCCTTTCCTGCCAGGATCACGTCCTGACCGTGAGGGGGAAAAAAACAAAAAAAAAGAAAAAAAAATATCAAAACCCAGTAGAATGATAGCAAACGTAAATATAGCTGAATAATTGAAAGAATAAATGACTAATTTCAGCAAGATCATGAGTGAATCTGAATCCTGGACTCCCTGTCCTATGCAAAGAGCCCTGAGAATGTTTATTTAAGTGGGAAACATTCTCTGCAAGGAAATAGATAAATAGGGATCTCAGAAGTTCAAAGCTAAGGTCCTACAGAAGAAATTCCAAAGTTCAAGGGCCATGCCCTTAATTGGTATACACCATTGGTTACAACTTATGTCCATCAAAGATCTGTCTCTTGATGCTTGTTCACATTATTTGATCTTCTTGAGTTTGCAAATATTGATCTTGTTTGATTTTAGTCTGGAGGACCTTCTGTCTCTTCAAGCTTTAACAACAGATAAAGATAATGCTAGAATAACCTGACAGGTGGTCAATGGCCAGGTGGTTTTGGTCCTGTCCTGAAACAAAAAGGAGAGGGATATGTCTAAGTATAGAAGGAGTTATCAAACGATGTAAATATATACATCTTTAAGATTAAATCAAAACTGCTTGTCTCATGTTGTTGAAGTCTCTGGAGAAACAATTCTCAAAAGACATTTTATGGCAGCTGCAATCAGTAGAAACCAACTCTTTTATTTACCAATACCTTCATCAGTGTTTATGTGAGTTAAGTAACAATAATAATTTTCTTCTATGTGTATGTTTCCTGCATCTATGAGATAAATTTTGCCAAATAAATGAAACAAGAATGTATCTTCAGAATGTTTGAGAGGTATGACATACCATTTACAGCATGCTCCAGGGGAAACTTGTCAATAGAATTGCTTCTCTCAGCAGCATCTGTTGGAGCTGCAGACAGAAAATCCCAAAGAAATGTCAGAGATTCCTAAAGTAACGACAGAGTAAATTTCAACTTATTTTCGAAGGAGGTATCTACTTCTCCCATGGTATGACAATAAAGCTGTCACAGATCTGAGCAGGCAGTTAGCCTCAGAACGCAATGCTTCTGACCCGTGTGTTTGTGTAAGTCAGATACAGAAGTTGTAGCACAAATATCTCGGAGCATGTTAGAGCTGAGACTGTCTGCTGCGTTCACCAAAGACCTACCAAAATTTTGCTTATGTCTACATTTCTTGTAATTTAGGGAAAGTACTAAATACAGTGAGAAATATAACTTTTTACCGAAAATTTCCAACTCATTCATGGTTTGGACAAGGCTCTGTGTGATACTTGGTTCCCACAACATGCTGAGGTACCAGTAGAGCTGTTGTGGAAGCTGAGGGGCATGACGCAGTCTATGCTTAAGGACCATGTGTTGAAAAAGTTTGGCTTTAACTCTGCAACAATGTTGATAGCTTCAGAGGACATTGCATCATTCATTTATTTCAGTGGGAGCAGGATTAGCCCAAGAGCCCTTGAGCCTATGAGTGCAACTCAGTTTTGCTCCAGTGAATTCATCCTCCATACCTCTGACTAGCTGTCTTTCAAAATCACGTGCTTTCAAAATGTGGGAGTTTTGATGGGGTTTTTGTTTGGTTGGGGCTTTTTTTTTTTTTTTTTTTTTTTTTTTTTCCACTTTTAACAGGGGAAAACTTTTTTTCATCCACTATTTTCAGAAGTGTCTGTGGGAATGAACCACCACAGAGGCATCTTGAAATGGCTTCAATTTAATGATAATTCAGTGCCAGATTCTGGCTGGTTATAACGACTCCCAGGGAGATGTTCAGACCTCATTTTCCCTGGTTTAAATCCAACCCCTGTTAACAATGTCCACGAGACGACATTGTTACCTATCAGGAGGCTTGCGTAAGATGAACTGGTGTTACAGCACAGTTTCTAGCAGACTCCATCACACTGGGAATGTGAACAGCATCTGAGTCCCAAAAGCCTTTTCACTGTGCAGAGGGCTGACTCGGTCTGGTTGACTGCTTCTGGTTTCCTTGCTGTAAGTGACACCATGCGTAGTTACTCAAAACTGCTGCGCATCTAGAGTGCCTTGTTGGGTATTTTTTGACAGGACAAAATAAGCATTAAAAAAAAAAAAATTATTTCAAAAATAATCTGATGCTTACACTAGCATGGAAATTATTCACATGTTTCAGCAGTGCTGTTTTGCAGCGCTGGAACAATTGAAGCCCCTGACAAATTTAGAGCCTTAAAAGGGACACAGCAAAAGTTAAGCACTTTCAACTGTACCTCCAAGTCATTGATTTTAAACACCTAAGCCTTTGGTTTTCCATTTTTAGGCAGGAAGTTTATTAGCAAGGAAATATACATGCTTCAGGAAAAGAGGGGCCTCTGGTACTTTCCAAGTCAGCTTTTACGTGACTTAGGTTCATTTTGAGAAGAATAATTTATAGTGGCATGAATAAATAATAGCAGTGAGTTCTAACTGTCCAAACTCGGTACATAATATCCTGGGAAAATTTCCTCTGCTGCGTGCTAATGACTGATTGTTGGCTTTTATGTTGTGAGCGACTGTAATGAGTAAATCATTTGAAAATAACTGACGTGCTCAGGTTTGTTTAAGCAACACTTGTCAAGCTACATTTTCAAGCCAATGTGAGATATGAGTTCAGTTTACTGCTGCAATCAGTGTGGTCTCTGCCTGCATTTGTAAGCAACTATGCAAGATCAGCTGCTGAAATTTAGAAATTAGTGGTTTACTGTGATTTGCATTGCACAAAATTGCCATTATATCAGTGTCTCTTCTCGTGACAATAAATACATTTAGACACTGGGTAGGTGCCTAGCTCATCTGGGAAGACCATTCATAGATTAATTGTAAGAGCAATAGTGAAAATGTATGCCCTCATTCATTCAATTTGTGTGTGGAGATATATTTTCAAAGTGTTGTTAATCACATCTTGTTGACTGCTCCTCTAGCTGCATCCATGGTGTGTAAAGATTCCTTTTTTCTTTATCTTATTGCAGCTTTACTGGAATGGCTCTTTATTATTTTTTTTTAATAGTACATTAATCCAAGAAGAGAGTGTTGTATGCTTCTCTCCTTGTCTACCACTGCTTCTTACTTATATGAGAAAACCTTGAAACTTTATCACGAAAAGTAACAATATCAAATGTTGCTTTGCTTTTCAGTTGCATTTCTTCATTGGTGCTAGCAAGAGGTCTTTTGAAAGGTAAGGACATGTTTCTCTATCTCTTGAAAAGGAAATAAAATGCTTGGGCAAGGTGATAACTGGACACTGCAAGTTTTCCTCTGCCTGGTGAAGCCTACACTGCTTGTGCTGGTTTTTTGCACAAGCAAAGTTTTCTGAGTTGTTTTCAGAGAAAAATCAACAAACAACAACAACAAAAAAATAGTGCAAAATGTAGTCACACGATTTAGAGGAGCAATAAATTTTCTCTCCATTCTACCAACTTTCTTATCCCAGGTGACAGTTAACACATCCATCTGTCTTGAATTTCTCCTTGGCTAGCCTCACTGTAATATCCAGGCACTGAGGTTTAATATTAAACAGAGCAGTGTAGCAAGGAAGTCTTGCTCCTGTTAATTTCTGGCTTTTGACAAGGACACAATTCCTTTCAATGTCACAAATGCGATTTAGTTTTTTCATTTCTTCCAACTACCTGAGAGTGCAGGTTTGGGTTGTGGATTGCCTGATGTGAATATGCTCTTAACTGGATTAAAAACCCAAGCTCAATTCATGGAAGCTACCAGAATATCACCCAGGTATTATAACAGCTATGGGTCACCTCTGAATTGAAGTCAGTCTTGATGTGGTGACATGGATTTCAAAGGTTTCGTCTCTTACTTACAGTTCTTTGAGCCCGTCAGTTCCATTGCTCAGCATTCATCTAAGTTAAATCAGCTCTTTTTTAACCTTTTTTTTTGGTCTCTTCCTTTCTTTTGCATATCTTCATGGAAAGGTGACCCTGCCTGTTGAATCAAGGGTTGAAACTACCCCACTGATAATGGATAAGTGGTTGGATTACCGAATATAGTTTTTTACCCTGCTTTAATTTCTCACAAAATACTTGCCTCATTTTTAACTAGGTTTTGTGTTGGGGAGTGGTTCTCTGTCTGCATTCATGCTCAACTCTGATTGCTTTGGATCCAATGCACTCATCTGGATTTAGTATTCAGGGGGCAATTCTCTATCACAGTCACATGCATAGCTTCTTACCATCTGGCATCACTATGGCTACTGCTGGCCCAATGCAGCTTCCGTGGTAGTCAATGGAAATTTTTGAGTCTGACTTCACAAAGCAATACATCCAACACAGGAGAGAAAATATGTTAATCCAGAAAAGGTACCAGCAGAGATCATCACTGAAGTATACATTTGCTTTGCTTTGCCCTGTTTATATCGTATGGGAAAATGTAATCCCCACCTGACAGATGGGGACCACTGTCCCCATATTCATCCAGTCTTTGTAAAGGGATGAAGAACTGTGGAAAACTGGGTCCTCCCAGCACCAAGTTAGCAGCCTAACTCTGGTGTCATTCTTGAGAAAAGAGCTGTGGGATGAAAGCAAGTATAAGGTAGAGGGAAAATCAGATAACACAGCATCATATTGACAAATTTGGAAGCAAAGGTTAACAGCTCTTTGGTGTTATGGAAAGAAATACCCTCTAAATCCTTCTATCATTATGTTTGTTTTAACAAAGCTGTGTGTGTGTGTTTGATACCTGATTAATTCAAGTCCTCCGTTGGTGCTATAGTTTTTTTCTGGAATCAGAGAATTAAAAGATCATGTCGAACAGGGTTCTCAAATTAGTTGAATTACTGTAATCAAGGGCAGAATTTGGCCCAGTATCTTGATTGTATTGCTATCATCTGCTTCATGTGCCTCTCTAACACCACGGCAGTAGGAGAGCTAGCAGTTTCAGTCCCTTTGACCCTCTTATGAATGAGACCAGAACCTCCCTAGGAGAAAGGGAGCTCCAGTATTTCAAAGGGATTTTCACATAGACTTTCTAACTATTATCTTTTTCTCCTCTCTTCAGTTTATTCTTTTTCTGTATATTAAAAATCACTTTCCCTCCTCTGGAGAGATTTTCCCTATCCCATGCCCTCTCTAGTCCCAGTTTCCCTGACCCTCTTTTTACCTTTCTTTTCACACGGTACACAGTTTGGGTTGTTTTCAAACAAATCTGAACTTTTGCTTTGTTCTGATTTTATTTGTGGCCTGAAAAACAAAGCACATTAACTTGAAACAGATACTGAATTGCCTATGGGGGTAACTTGCAAAGTACTGATGCTTGGAAAGTTCCCAAAAGAAAACAAAGCCCAGCAGTCTTGCCTTGTTTGTAGAGCTGATGGAGATCAGTGACTCCTAAACCTTTGCCATCTCCTTCCAACAAGCCCCCTAAAATAACAAATACATGGGCTATGTCAACCAATTATGGTCTTCTGAATTATGAGCCAGACATAAGAGTGACATTTAGATTGTTTCTGCACATAAACATTAGTAGCTCAGTTTTGGGGCAGCTTTGTCACGCATAGCAAAGCTGTGCTGATTTACTTCCATGGAGAATCTGGTCTGATACCCCGTAGCAAACAATTGAAGCGATGGATCTAGAAAACAAAGTTCACTCCATGTGGCATGAAATACCTCCTCAGGGTTTTTGTTTCTTGCTTCCTGTTAATATGCTAGGCACTCTACAAGCAGGGAAGTAATTTTCATATGCCTGAAGTCTAATCTAGAAAGTAAAGCTGACAGGGCATATTACCTGCAATGGGACCCAAGACCAGGCTGAGGAGGAGAGTGGGATTTCGCAGTTGCGATATGCCCACACCTCAGTGGCTCAGAGCACATGTGATTTGAATCAGCTTGTGGAGCAAATGCAGGCCAATCGTAACACTTCAGTATTCATTCAGCTGACAGAATGGAGTAAAAAGCTGAAAGTTAAATATTTTTCTATGCTTGTATCAAGAGAAGGGCACTAACGAAGGCGGATCCTGTGGTCCCCATGTTTTTAATGATAGCCTGGAATAAAGCCATTGCCCATTCAAAACTGAAAATTTAATAGTGAAATTTCATTTCATTGCTAAAGAAGTTGAATATTTTTACCCATATCATAGAAAAATGTCACTCTTTCTTGATGCCACATGGTACATAGAGTTTCAAAGTTTAAAAAGGGAAAACTTTGCAGCCTGAAGGGGAGTCCCTGGCTAGAACTTGCACACAGACAGGGAAGGAAGAGGACACCTCTAAATACAGCGTTGTCCAAAAACACAAAGGTGGGAGTTTTGTTTCCTGCTCAGATGGGAACATAAATAGGGTTGCTATTAGAAATGGTATTTTTTTCTACTTCTGTTGCGGAAGCAGCAGTAGTGTTTCCAGTGTTGCTGCTGATAAGATGTGGAGATGCAGCTTATACTGTGTCTCCTGTAGCAAATAAAAAGTGGTAGTGTGGGTTCTCTCTGCTTTCAGTAGGATTTGCCACAGGCTAAACATGTGCTTGCTTACCAGGCTAGGTTGCTTTACCTTGATCCATAAGAATGATTCATGCTTATCACAAATAACTGCGCAGTGAAAACAGTGTCTGCTGTGCCAGCAATACCGAGACTTCAAATGGCAAAGCTTCTTCTACAAAGATTGCCATGCATTTGGATGGCTGCATGCCAAAACTACAGTGCATGTTAATTTGACTTGGCACCTGTCAGTCATACAAATTAGTGGGGATCTTGATCAAAGAATACTTTTTTTATTGATTTCCTCTTCATGCTTACTGAAGATATATGCTTGTCTCTCTTTGTTTGGCTTTCCTTACCCTTCTTACTTTCCTATGTTTTGGACTTAACAAGTTCACCTATATAGACATAAATACTCATCTAAATAAAATAGCATGCAATAGGCAGGCATACTAAAAGAAGGAATGGTTTATTATCTGTCACTTGTACACAATGGATGACTTTGGTAAGAAATGGGACATTAAAGACCTCATTTCTCTTGCAGCAGTAGTGTGGTTCTCTGGAGCGACTCCAAAGCAGGCAATGGAGTTACACTCTTGTAAACACTGACAGCTAAATCGAGATGCCAGACCTGCGAATTTCCTCTCACAGCACCCTCTCTTCCACTGCATTATGCAAATGTATTACGTGTGTTCACTGCTCTCAGCATTTCTTTTTCAGGCCCCATCTATATAGAATTACTGAAGTCATCTAGGTAATAACTTGAAAGAAAATAGACTCGTTGACTGAAAGATTTTGAAATTGCAATCAACCCTTGAAAGAGAGAGTGAAATCAGGGACGAGTAACAGATGGTGGTGGTGGCTAATCTTTCAGCCTATTATTTTACCATATGGGGGTCTATGCCACAGACTTTCATACTGAAAATAAAAGAGAAATTAATCATTGTGTGACAATACATTAGTTAAATAGCTCTGTTGCCGTGATATTTGCCTCTATTTGCAACCATATGCAAGAATATAGGCTCTAAAACAAGGTTCAGCTGCATGTAGGCTGTGTTTGTGGTGACACACGACTTCAGAGGAAGAAGATCTACACCATTTAGTTTACTCAGAGAAAATGAATCTTCTGGCTATGCAAAGAAGTCTGTGAAAGGAAATCTACATACAAACACCCAATGGACTCTAATAGGAAGTTATACCTTCTCTGTGGATTTGAATAGAGAATTACATCACATGCACAGGACTGTATAGGGTGGTTAAAAAGAGAAATTATTTCATTCTGTGTTACGCCGACAGTCTCTTAGCTGGCCTTTCTCCACTGGAGGCAGGAGTGATTTAATAGCTGCAGGCCTTTATAAGTCACTTCCATTCAGCTATAATAAACATCTATAAATTTATGTATTAATTTCCTATCAAACTTCATAAAGCTTTTCTACAAGAGAAACACCCAGAGAGCAGTTGTATCTATTCTATTTCTCCTGTACAGGTTTCCTTAAAATGCTATCAAGGTAAGATCATTTCTCTATTGGTAAATCAGAACTAAGGTACTAAAGTTCTAGTTAACTTTTCTGCTAGCTATCTTCTCTGTGGTTAAATGTAGTAAGGAGAAGGACCAGCTTGAAAACACTCCCAGCTCTATCTGACTACCAGAGTGTGTTCCAGAGCTCACTCAGGCTTAACATGGTTGCCTTAGGCATGATAAAACTGGTTTTAATAACAAATATTGAGTAATACAGGTTTATGTATGGTCATGACTA